AACATTGCGTGGGTGTTTAAAATGTTAATATATTAGAACACACACACACACATATATATATATATATATATATATATATATATATAAACATGCATGGTTTTGTTTATCTACAACTACAAATTCAGTAATCACAAATTCACAATGTCACAAAATCACAAATAATAAGTTTCCTATATTTATATAGTGAAAATTTTGAGTATGGTCACACATGTACATATATAAACATCTAAACAAAAATTTAAATATAATGGATATAATCGATTTTTTTTTTGGATATTGGTGTAACTTATTTTGACCATGCATGTTATTACAGATAGATATGCTGCACATTTTGGAAAAGGCATATATTAACAGTAGTTACTTTCAGACGTATAATACAATGGTTAGTTTATTCTCTCTAAAATTTAACGAAGTAGCAAAAGATGCCAAAAATAGTGAATACACAATACCAATATATACGAGGAAAAATTATAAAATAAGGAACATACATTTTGAAAAGGTATAAAGAATCTTTATAAGGTTTTGATAAGTGGAGGCTTCGAAATTCGAATACTATTAGGTTAATGGACCCACTTGTTTCCTTCCCTATATAAATCCCCAAATGAAATCTCATTCAATCCATGCAGATAAAACACAACGACAAATAAAATCATACGCTCAAGCTTGTGTCCGTCCATCAAAACATCCATTAATCATCTTCTTAATTACTCACTTTGTCTTTGTTTCTCTTCTCACACATATATACATATACATGGATCAAGGAAGTCGTAGTGGTGGCGGAGGAGGAGCCGAGCAAGGGAAGTTCCGGGGAGTGAGGAGGCGGCCTTGGGGGAAATACGCAGCGGAAATAAGAGATTCAAGGAAGCACGGCGAGCGTGTGTGGCTAGGGACGTTTGAAACTGCAGAAGATGCGGCTCGAGCCTATGACCGAGCAGCCTATTCTATGAGAGGCCAAGCCGCCATTCTCAACTTCCCTCACGAGTATAATATGGGAAGCGGATCTTCATCAAACTCAGCAGCCACTGCAGCAACATCTTCCTCGTCGAGGCAAGTTTTTGAGTTTGAGTACTTGGACGATAGTGTTTTGGACGAACTTCTCGAATATGGAGAGAACTATAACAAGATTAATAATATTAACATGGGTAACAGGCAATAACGGGAATACAGTCGTATTAGACTGAAAGTTGAGTGACAGACATTTCCATTTATAACGAAAATAATCCCAAGCGTGATAAGTATTATACGAAAATGTATTATTGGCAACTTCTTTGTCAATCTATTTCTATACCGAATAAGCTTCTTTAAGCGCAAGTAATGTTAATGTCTAGAACTTCAAGGTTTAAATGGGCGAGTCCTTGTGTAATTAGTTTTGAGAATGTAATAATCCGATCATTTGAAAATGATGGATAAATGAAACATCTTTTTGTGTGCTTTATAATGTGTAAGTTATATGATTTGATATAATTGTAACATCGTGTTATACATCTAAATAAGCTTAACAAGTCGTGCAAGGTCAATGCTGAAAGAGAGAGCTAAGCATTGTTCAATGTATTTCGGTATATTTGAATGAAAAAATGATAAATATTTCGTATAGTTTTTGGTTCGATATAACTATTTTGTTAAAACCAGTTTTTAACTTCATATATAGTGACAAATTAACTAAATTTTGACCATACAGATTATGTGTGATTGTGCGTCCATCACAAACACATACAAATCTGAAACGCATACATATAGTGTATACGCACCTTCCAACACTGAAAAATATGTGTATACAAAATATGCCTTTCAGATTCTTTTTACTGTTCTAACATTTTACATGATGCATACATTTTGAAAACCAATTTGATTAGCAATTGAGTTCAGTAACTCATTGTGGACATTTTGAACAATCTATAAACAAGAAGTTTAAATTTAAGAATTCTAATATTTCAAATCAAAGATAAATGTAAATCAAAGTAAGAAAAACTGAAAAGATTTAATGTTTCTTAATTAGTATCTTCATGTGCAGGGGTGATAATTTCTGGCGTTTGATTTTTGCTATCATAGAACCATAATTTTCTTTGTTTTATAAAACCTTATTTTAAATAATTATTGATAATATTTTCAACTGACGTTATACTAAAAAAGATTATAACATTTATTTTGATATAATACACTTTCATTTAAAATATATACATTTTTAATTCGATATGAATAAGTGAAGAGGGAAAGTTTTTGTATCGAATATGAAAGGAACAATTTTTGAATAAAAAATTAGTGGGCTCGCCTTATAAGTAGTAGCACAGAGAAGCAAACTTTTTATTTTGTCTACACCAATTTCTTGTTGCACTTTCATTGCTTCAATGGCGTCGTCGCTTCTGGACCCACCGGCGGCCGTTGACGACGAGCTACCGTCAGTCAAGTTTGAATACTTGTTCACCTAAAACCATTTTCCCGCCGCCGTTAGGTCAGACCGGACATGTCGGTAGATTGGTGGTCTTGTCGCTAAAGAACATGATTAGGGCTTTGCTGAAGTGAGAGATAGACAGGTATTTTAATCTGATGCTCCTCTGTTTAGTTACTGTTCGATCAAGTTTACTAGTTTAGTTTGTTCGTTGATAGGGTTCTACTGTTGATTCTTTTATGTAATTAATCTCAGATTGAACAAAAGCGTCTGTAGTCCAACGGTTAGGATAATTGCCTTCCAAGCAATAGACCCGGGTTCGACTCCCGGCAGACGCATTTTTTTTCCGTTCCAAAAAACTAAATTAATCTCTGTTGGTTGCATTAACCTTGAAAATGACTGTTATAGTTATGGAGCCTAGAGATGAGTAAGAAAAGTAAAGTTTGAACTTTTAGATCCATGCATATATTGTTTCCACAGATATCATGTTTTTGCTATTTACAAACCCAAGAACAGAGAGTAGCTTATCAAGCCTATGAACTTGTTTTAGTCATCATGTACACAAACCAAATAAAAGGTCAGAATTAAGTATATTTTACCAAAACTTATGTTCTATGCTATCATGTCTCTTCTTATACTTTAAAGTTAAAGCTATGTATGTATGTATCAGTGATTAATTTCGTCCACTTGCAAGGAGGCGAGGCATCAATCCAACAGTCTTGATGAAGATTTTGAAGACCACCGATTTGATCTTGAAGAAGAATTGTGATACAGGAGTTGTTGGTATGCTTCCTTGTGCCCAAAGTTAGGTCAGTCTGTGGGCATGGAGGGTAATAATGGCAGATCATTTGCAAACCCTTGGTGCAATCCATCCTCTTAAGGGTCTCATAGCTCAAACCAAGAGCTTCTGAGATACGTTCAAAGAGTAAACCACTTACGCTCTTCATATGATCGGAACCAATCCTAGCATCCCTGAGCCAATGAGTTATACAATCAAGAGTATATTAGTTATGTGAATGTCTTAAAAAGATTGATTAAAAACTCTCCTATTTATACAAAAAAACATACATATAACAACAAGACAAACATCTATAAAACCAACCAAATAATTACATAATCCATACTTAATATCAATACACCATTTATAAAATATTTTAGTGTGGTCCCTAGTGTTCTGAAGCAATATAAAGATGCAATCAACAATTTTATTTCGATTTCTTCTTTAATCAAAGACGGTATTTAGTCCTAGGCTAATAATGGGGGAAAAAAAAACAGGATGAAGAAATAGAAGGAGCGACCAAAGAGCTTCGAAACCAAATAGAGGCAGAAGAGATCGCAAACAGCAGTGAAGAAGCTCATACTGTTGAAGAGGATAGCAATGAAATGGTAAAAATACATCTTCATAACCCAAAGTGCTTCTTCTCTTGCTTTCAGACTTTGTTTTTCTAAATAATTTATTTGTTTTTTCTTTCAAGTAAAATGGATGTGATATATCGAGTCAGTGGCTCTCACGACAAGCTTAAAACTATATATCTAATACTATAATATAGCTTATTCAGTTTGGTTACAAGCATCATGTCAAGAGACAAACATTCACACTTCGACATGTTAGTTTTTGTAATAATAACATAAAGATTTGTGATCATCTATAACCATATTTTCCAAAACTTTATAGCAATCTGTCTAACTAATGGAATAAATAACTACATAAATAAATAATCCATTTGTAGCCATAATTTTTTTAGCCGAAAGATTATTAAAAGAATACTACTACTGGGTTTCCTATATAAAAACCTTGCGTTGATCTCACTTGCTTGGGTGTCTTGTGAATTGATTTAGCTTCTGGTTTTAATTTCTCAAGTCTATGTCTTTTGTTAAGCTTTAGGCTCTAGAGAACCCATTTGATTTTTTTTTTTGACCAAAGAACCCATTTGATTATGTTGTCCTTTGTCTCCAGAAGAATTGTGTAGTTCTTGCTGGCACTAGTCACTAGTCTAGACAGGTTCCTAGAATCTTTTATCCTCATTTCTTAACAATCAATGCAAGCTTTAGTGAAAAAAAAAAAACCTATCATCCCATAAAACTTTCACTTAACCGTTTATATTTCATATGGCATAAGAGTAAAAGATTGATGAGATAAGATCATGTTTGGTTTGAAAAATTAGCTATGGATGGTATTGCATGTTTGACAGAGTTAGTGAAGAAAATGCAAACAAAGACAAGATTAAAATTAACATATTCTTTTGGATGACACATCAACACAAGATAACTATTGACAAACTCAATGTCTATAATTAATTAGTTAACCTAAAATAACTCTAAACATTATCATGTATAAAAATATTTTAGTGCATGACAGTGGAAAATATACCGTGCTAATTAGTAATTGATATTGCCGACGAAAGTAAGAGAAAAAAATTATTTAATCACTTTAATACGAATGATGCTACAGAAGCATCCAATTCCAAAGCTAAAATATGTAATTAATATTATAAATGTTGGACCTACTGTTGATTTCATATATTTTTAATTGGTGACACAAAATTTCCCATTAATAACACTAAAAGAAAACAGAGAAGCATTTTATTACACTTGCGCATGTGGAGAGAGAAAGGGTTAGTACAAATTAGCACGCAATTAAAGCAGAGTTATTGACTTTTCTGTCTAAATTCAAGATAAGGCAAAAAAATATCATAAAAAAAAAATCTCTTGTGATTGAATGATATTTCCAAAGAAAATATAAAGAGTTGAATCGAGCTCTATCTATCCGTAGCAGTCTAAAGATCATTTCTTTGTCAACCTATAACGCTTCCTCTCCGCGTTTTTCTTCTTCTCCTCTTCTTTGTCTTAAAAAGTCTCGAGCTTTGGTTTCAAAAGTTGTCGGTAACAGCTCGATGATAATGATGGTTTTGTAAAAATGGGTGATTTTTAGTTTTGTTGTAGCAGAAGCTAAGTTTGTAAAGTAGAATACTTTCAGGGGCTAATCCTCAAAATCGATTCTGGGTCAAAAAAAAAATAAACACTTTTTGATTGATCTTACGATTGGTGATCAAAGGTTCTTCATTGAATTGAATTGAATTGAATTGGGGTTGGATACACAGAAGAAGTTAAAAGGTTACTTTTTGATTTTGTAAAAAAGAATGGATCGAGTGGTAGGTGGCAAGTTCAAGCTTGGAAGGAAACTTGGAAGTGGATCCTTTGGTGAAATCTTTCTAGGTATTGTTTTTCTTTTTTTCTAGGTTTCTTATTTTTGTTTACTCTCCTTTGTAACCTTTATTGAATTTGATTTGGTACAGGAGTGAATGTACAGACTGGAGATGAAGTTGCTGTTAAGCTTGTAAGTTGCAATTTTTATTCTCTTTTAGTGTTAAAAGCAATGCTCAAGAAATCGCTAGGCAGTGGTTAAGTTTGCCTAAATTGATCTTTTTGATAGGCTGCAGAGACCGATTTTTAGAACACTGGTTTATATTAATGTTTATCACTCCTTTGTGTGTTGATATATATGTTAGGAACCTCTTCGATCTAGGCATCCTCAGCTTCATTATGAGTCTAAGCTTTATATGCTTCTCCAAGGAGGAAGTATGTTTTTGCTTCTTTTTTGAGTCTTTAGTCTTTAATCTTGTTTCTTTATGTTTAGATAATAATGTGGCTTTTGTGTTAATGAAGCTGGTATTCCACACCTTAAATGGTTTGGTGTTGAGGGTGAATACAACTGTATGGTGATCGACCTTCTTGGTCCTAGTTTGGAGGAGTTTTTCAACTTTTGTAGTCGATCTTTCTCTCTCAAGACTGTTCTAATGCTTGCTGATCAGATGGTACTATATATATATCATTCTTGTTTACCTTCTGCTTGATTGCATGTGCTTACGCAATCTTGATTTCTCTAGTTAAACAGAGTGGAGTATATGCATGTGCGAGGCTTTCTTCATCGTGATATTAAGCCAGATAACTTCTTGATGGGTCTTGGCCGCAAAGCTAACCAGGTCTACATCATTGACTATGGGCTAGCGAAGAAGTATAGAGATCTTCAAACACACAAACATATTCCTTACAGGTACATATACTTTGTCTCAAGTTAAGTTGTTTTTCTTAGATGGGTTTCACTTTTGTTAAATCTGAAAGTGTTGTTACTTCTCAGAGAAAACAAGAATCTTACAGGGACAGCTCGATATGCAAGTGTTAACACTCATCTTGGGATTGGTTAGTTTATTATTTTCTTGCTTTCTCATGTTACCATCAACTTGCATGCACTTGAGAGACTTGACCCTGCATCAGTTTCTTGATTAGTATTCTAATGTAATATCTCTTACACAGAGCAAAGTAGGAGGGATGATCTGGAGTCTCTTGGCTATATGCTTATGTATTTTCTCCGAGGAAGGTAAATAGATAAATCTGCACTTATGTATTCTTCGCTGTGTATTACACTTGTCGCTGATCTGTTATTTTTATTTCAGCCTTCCATGGCAAGGACTTCGTGCAGGAACCAAGAAGCAGAAGTATGACAAGATCAGTGAAAAGAAAAGACTTACACCAGTGGAGGTCCTTTGTAAAAACTATCCACCTGAGTTCACATCTTATTTCCTCTATGTGCGTTCATTACGGTTTGAAGACAAACCAGATTATTCTTACTTAAAGAAGCTTTTCAGAGACCTATTCATCCGAGAAGGTAATTTACTTATTCTGATGCTACTTAATCTTTCAAGAATTCTTAATGAAAATAGTCAAGAAACTGCTTTTGATTCTGCAGGTTATCAGTTTGACTATGTATTCGATTGGACAATTCTGAGGTATCCACAGTTCGGCTCAAGTTCCAGTTCCAATACCAGACCAAGAGTAAGTCCACTATTCTTAAGCTGCATGTGCAGAATCAATTATCATTTCATTAGAGTAACAACCTTCTCACGCATCTCCTCTGTTCTAATAGCCAAGCCTAAGACCAGCTCTGAATATTCCAATACCATCTGCCGAGAAAGCAGAAAAGCCTTCAAGTAAGCATCACATAAGTTATGCCAACTTATAGAAGTACTTTGTTTAGAAGCTCAGATATTAACAAACTGTTCTCTGGATAATATTCAGCTGCGCAAGCCACTCGTGATAGATTCTCAGGTGTTTTCGAAGCATACACCAGAAGAACTGGCTCAGGGACTGGCATTGAAGGTAATTGGTCTAGTAGACCAAGAACTTCAGAGAACGTTCTTGCTTCTAGAGACACGGTTAGTAACTTTAACTTATTTGATGTTTCCGTTTGTAAGTAATACTCTTTCCGTTTCAAATTATTTGATGTTTTAGAAGGTTTAGATTGTTTTAAAATATAAGATGTTTTAGGGTTTAAAGGTTAACTTTAACTTTATTGGAAATTGTTCAACTAATAAGATTTTACAGTATTTTTTTTATAGTTGGTTGAATAATTTTAAATTTATATCTTAAAAGTAAAGTACTTTTGAAGAATGTAAAAACCGGAGGGTCTATACTATGTATTTTTAAATTTAAATTTATATTTATAATTTTAAATTTATATCTTAAATTTAAATTTATAATTTTAAATTCATATCTTAAAAGTACATCATAAGGCAGGACCGGATCTGAGATTTTAGAGACTAAACATTTTTTTAAGAATTTTAATTTTAAAAGAACATAGTTTTGGGGGTCTATACTATGTATTTTTTTTGGTCAACATTTATACTACGTATATAACCTCCAAAAAATTAGGGCCAAAACCAATGTTTCATGCGGTTGTGTCCAGATCCAGTCATGATTCTAGGATATGAGAACTATGGACTAACACAAAAGAAACCTTTTTTTGTTTTGTTGAATCAGGTTAACAAGGAGAGACCAATCACTATATCTAGAAACCAGAGTTTTCCAAGAAAACCAGTTGCTGGGTCTAGTGTTCGAGCCACTCCTTCAACTGATTTCGTAGAGAACAGATCGAGCAGAGTGGTTTTAAACACTGGCCGGCCTTCTACAACTCAGAGGACTCAGTTCCCTCCTCCGTCCTCCTCTTTAGCCACAAAAGCTGCAGCACCATCGAGACTTCCTCCTGACGTTACGCTCGAGTTCCTCACTATTGGGAACGGCAAGAGGAAGTCATGAGTCTCCATAACAAACAAACATGGCTGGTTTTAATTATGTTCAGTGTTGTAGTTACTATCACCAATTATCGTCGTGGTTCTTACACTTTATAAAAGTTAAAAAAGTGTATATGAATATGCATGAACTTCTTATATATTAAAACATAAGTCATTACTATTATTAGAAAGTCATCTTACATTAGTTTTCTAATAATCTTCTTATTATTATATTTTATGAAAAATTATATTTATAATAACAAGGATACGCTTAACAATTTAGTTTTGGTAAATTATTCCACATCTTCTAACTTAGTGACGTAAAATATGTCAATAGATATAAGTTTAGGAATCTTCTATTATTTATAATGAAATATGTCAATAATAGTTAAATGTATTCACAATATATTAACAAAAATTACATATTCGTAATATGGAATATTTATATACCCTAACAAAATTTACACGCTTTATATACTAGATAAATTTGCTTTGATGTAAATTTTTAAAATTATATTGTTTAAAAAAGAAATTGTTTAAAAATTCTTTTTTTAATAAAATTTTTTATAATATTAATTGGGAAAATTGATAAAATAACCCTTAACTTTCTTTAAGCTATTTTAATCTTCAACTTCTAGTCAAACACGAATAAATCTCATATTTTCGTTGACCAAGTCGTTTTAATCTCGTCAAAATTCAATCATTTAGTTCTGTTAGTTATATTTAACGGTTGACTTTTAATGAGCCTAGAATGGCTTGGTAAACGAAAGTATGAGATTTTTTTTATTTTAATTTAAAAGTTGAAGATTAAAATGGTTCAGTTAAAAATATCTTAACTAAAAATTGCTATTTTTTTATTTTTTTCAACAAAAATTGTAGTTTATCATATCGATTAGAGTGACAAACTTAATAAAATACGTTAAAATAAGCTTAGTTATAATATTTTTAAATGAATTAAAAAGAAAAAATGTTTAGTAAAAAAACTTGATTAAAAATACAAGTATACTATAAATTCAGATGTAAAATAAAATAATTAAGTGCTTATGTTCAAAAAACTTTAAGAATAAAAACATAAAAGTTAAAGGTAAAACCCTAAACACATTGTTGTTAAAACTATAATCACATATACTCAATAGAGGATGAAACAAGTGAAAATGAGGAAGTCAAGTGCGTGAAAATGAGGAAGTCAAGTGCGTGAAAGAGATTTCCGACAGCTGATGTATATAAATTTTTTGTTTTTAATTCATTTTTAAATATTATATCTAAACTTATTTAAACATATTTTATTAAGTTAATGATTACAATCGATATGAAAAATTATATTTTTTTGTCAGCAAAAAAAAAAATTAGTTAGGATATTTTTAAGTAAGCAATTTTAATCTTCAATTTTTAAATTAGGATTAAAAAAATCACATACTTTCGTTGACCAAGCCATTTTAGGCTCATTAAAATTCAACTGTTAAATATAACTAATGGAACTAAACGGTTGAATTTTGACGAGATTAAAATGGTTTGGTCAACGAAAGTATGAGATTTATTCGTGTTTGACTATAAGTTAGAGATTAAAATGGCTTGTTTGTGAGTTGAAGATTTTTTTGGCTTATTTTCTAAAGTTAAGGGTTAATTTGTCATTTTCCCAATATTAATTTATGAAGCTATAAGTTTAGTTTTTAGCAAAAATTTCTTCGAAGTTTATATTATCTTTTCAAATTAATGTATAATAATATTTAATAAACTTCTATTTATATTACTTTATCTAAAAATGAAATACTAATCTAACAAACAATAAAATATAAAAGAACAAACAAATATTATATAATATTATTATGTTTGAAAAATATTTACTATACTTATCGTAAATATGTGATTGCTATAATATATACCAATTTACAAGTGAAAACAAAATGTTTATATAACTAACTATAAACGAAAACAAACACCCGCGCAACCAATCTAATATATTTAATAAGCCTAATAAACACAACCAATCGATAGTCAGCTGTGTAACTAGTACATATGTGTATGAATATGCATGAACATATGTTTTATAAGCTGATTAAACAACCAATATATAGTCAGCTGTTTTAACTTGATGTGCTTGTTCAGCTCTATCTTTTTCACAGATTCATCATCATATGCAAGAGATTATTTCTTTTTTACATTTTACCATTACACATTTTGTCCACTTTTTAACATTTTTAATAATAGTTAATGATTTAGTAGCATCACAATCCTGGAAATAAATCTTTATCTATATGGAATTGAATACAATATAAGAATTCATGTTTTTCTAACATATGTGCTTATTAATTAATTTTGAATTGAATTTAACCAGTTAAATCATATTTTCATGATTTATGACTTAGTATTTAGATTTGTTTTCCATACTAATACCATGGAAGTTTTTACCGGTTTTTAGATGCCCATAAGCGAAGTAATTAATTTAGTTTTTCGTCTAAAGGTTCGTCTTTCTGCCAAATAAGTTTGGATAGTTTAACATCATAAAATGGAATGATAACAAATAATGCATTGTGTTAGTATTTACCAGGATAACTTATTACGATTGTACAGAAACAAATCATATAATACAGTTTGAGAAATTTAAGTATATATATATATATATATTTTTTGACAAAAAAATGAACAATTAACATACCATTAATATCCTGGCCTCTTCAAAATTTCCTACATATGTTTGACTTCTTTATATGGTAAGATATACTGTATATACATACTTTTTTAGAAAATATTTTTTTTTGTTATATTTTTTTCTAAATTTGTAAATAAGTTAATGCATGCTGAGATATGACTGAATCTAATAATTTCATCATTATCATTTTATCATTATCATATATCTGGCACACACACAAAACTTGTATATAAATAGGTCAATATATGTGTCTTAGGTTCTCCATAAAGATCTCACTCGAGTTCTCAATCTTGTATAAGAAAATGAATGGTGGATTTGGCATGAATAACGATCTCACTCGAGTTCCAAAACCCCAACAATGTTCTCTTTGTAAGAGAATTTTCCCAACAACTCAAGACTTAATTTCACACACCAGCAGTGTTCACTCTCATCATCTTCATCACTTCACCTTCTCACCATCTGCCCCCGCAGCACCCACCACCTTCTGCCACTACCCGAACCCTAACCGTAACCCTAGTCCTGCTTTCCCAGCCAGGAACCGTTTTGACTTCAATTGTTACCGTAGTGGTCAAGTAGATGAACAAAACAGGTTTTTTCAAGTATCTCCGGCGATGCCACCGGAAGGTTTACGTACGCTTCCGCTTATTTGCCAGCTGGAGAAACCGATACCGCAGGATACTGCAATGGAGGAAGACGGGGCTAACTCGAGTGCCATCGACTTGACGTTAAGGCTGTGAATCCTTTTTTTTTTTTTCTTTTTTTTTTTAATAAGGCTGTGAATCTTTGATAGCAAACAAACAAAAAATGATTCTCGATAAGAGAATCTAGGGTTCTTGATGAAAAGCATTAATATGTTTTTATTGTAGTGGATGTTGTTGTTGCTGTTGGAATGATTATTGTAATATCTATTTTCTTTTGCTATAATTAAGGTGTTCTTCATCTTAAATTATATTTTCTTCTTCCTCTATATTAATGGTGTAACATGCCTTGGTATGACAAGTGAAGAAAGTTAGATAACTAGTATTTTTCTTTTCTACCATGGTTTGTGATAAACACAAGCTTTCAACCCAAATATTAAGGCAATAGATGAATTTGGTCATGTGTATAATATATTATTTGATTCTCTAAGATTACCGATGTGGGACTTAATACACTAACACCTTCTCTCATGCTCACGCATGGCCGCCATATGATCCATGGAGTATTTGTAGATGATCCATGGAGTATTTGTAGGACTACACCTATAGGGTGTCCCAACGATCAAAACTCGCTTTGATATCATGATAAACCACAAGCTTTCAATCCAAAATCTTAAGCTAATAGATAAATTGGCTCATGTATATTATATATTATTTAAATATCTCTAAGATTACCGATGTGGGACTTAACACACTAACCGTTTGTGTTACTCATATAGATATTTGATAAATAGAACATCACCAATTCTATAGAATTTAATTAATAAGGAATGGAATCAAGCACAATCAGACCAGGAAAGAAGTCAGATCACGCATCTTCAAATGGGTCGACCTGAAAACCAATCAATCGAAGAACTGGAAACTATCTTCACCACATGCAGAACAGACGCGTCATGGGATGCAGGTAGGAAGAAAGCCGGTCTGGCATGGATTTTCTCGGGTGTAAAGGAACCCAACCCCAATCGTTCTTCTTTGGTACTTGATTTCGTCGATTCACCGCTTGTAGCTAAGGCCTTGGCGGTTCGAGAAAGTTTGTATATGGCAGTAAATCAGGAGATTTCACACTTCCGAATCTACTACGACAACTCAACGCTCATTGGAGCTATTACCAACAAGACACAAAGGAAAGATCTGCTGGAAATTATCAAGGATATTCACGCGTTTTCTTCTGTATTTGTTTTTATTGGGCTTTTCATTTTCCTCGTAAAGACAATTTTGAGGCCGACTTTCTAGCAAAAGCGGCTCTCAGCTTAATGGGCTATTTGGTATGGGTTTATACCTAGGCCGAATCCAGCTCTTTTGTTTTAATTTTCAAGTATTTTGGTGAAAAAAAAAAAACAAATTAGTAAGAAAATTATAAATCACAAAATAAAATGAACCAATCACAAGGTGAGTCATCTCTGTTTTATCTCTTTTGACTAGAAACTGCTTATTCTGCTCGACTTGAAAGACGGATGTGCATGCATGTGTATGTGTATGTTATATATGTTATTTTTCGTTTCTTATAACTGCTCGACTTAATTTCATGATTTATGACTTAGTATTTAGATTTGTTTTTCATACTAATACCATGGAAGTTTTTACCGATTTAGCAGATGCCCTAAGCGAAGTAAGTAATTTAGTTTTTCGTCTAAAGGTTCGTCTTTCTGCCAAATAAGTTTGGATAGGTTAACATCATAAATAGAATGATAACAAATAATGCATTGTGTTAGTATTAACCAGAATAACTTATTACGATTTTACAGAAACAAATCATATAATACAGTTTGAGAAATTTAAGTATATACATATATATATGTTTTTTTTTGACAAAGAATATATATATATATATTCCTTGACAAGAAACAAAATAAAATACATAATATTTTTATTTTTCCATAAATGTGATGGATTACTTGCCTGTAAAAACAAATGAACAATTAACACATACTATTAATATCCCGCCCTCTTAAATTTTCCTTACATATGTTTGACTTCTTTATATGGTAAGACATATTGTACATACATACTTTTATAGAAATTTTTTTTTTTTCATATTTATTTCTAAAATTGTAAAATCAATTCATATGACTAAATCTCATGATTTCATCATTATCATGTATTATGATAATATCAACAAACATAAACATATATTTCCTGAAATAGAGGGCATGGCATCATGCATATATCCTATGCCTTGCACACACAAAAACTTGTATATAAATAGATCAATATATGTGTCTTAGCTTCTCCATATCCTATAGCTATATCTCCTTCTAAATCCCAATCTTGTATAAGAAAATGAATGGTGGATTTGGCATGAATAACGATCTCACTCGAGTTCCAAAACCCCAACAATGTTCTCTTTGTAAGAGAATTTTCCCAACAACTCAAGACTTAATTTCACACACCAGCAGTGTTCACTCTCATCATCTTCATCACTTCAACTTCTCACCATCTGCCGCCGCAGCACCCACCACCTTCTGCCACTACCCGAACCCTAACCGTAACCCTAGTCCTGCTTTCCCAGCCAGGAACCGTTTTGACTTCAATTGTTACCGTAGTGGTCAAGTAGAAGAACAAAAAAGGTTTTTTCAAGGATCTCCGGCGATAACTCCGGCTACAAACACTAACGGTATGTTTGGGCAGCAGGAGAAGCCGATGCTGATGAATCTCTTTCCGGCGATGCCACCGGAAGGTTTACGTACGCTTCCGCTTATTTGCCTGGAGAAACCGATACCGCAGGATACTGCAATGGAGGAAGACGGGGCTAACTCGAGTGCCGTCGACTTGACGTTAAGGCTGTGAATCCTTTTTTTTTTTTTTTTTTCAGGCTGTGAATCTTTGATAGCAAACAAACAAAATATGATTCTCGATAAGAGAATCTTGGGTTCTTGATGAAAAGCATTAATATGTTTTTATTGTAGTGGATGTTGTTGTTGCTGTTGGAATGATTATTGTAATATCTATTTTATTTTTCTATAATTAAGGTGTTCTTCATCTTAAATTATATTTTCTTCTTCCTCTATATTAATGGTGTTGTTGCATGCGCCGAAACAAAACATGCCTTGGTATGACAAGTGAAGAAAGTTAGATAACTAGTATTTTTCTTTTCTACCATGGTTTGTGATAGACCACAAGCTTTCAACCCAAAATCTCAAGGCAATAGATGAATTTGGTCATGTGTATAATATCTTATTTGAATCTCTCTAAGATTATCGATGTGGGACTTAATACAGTGATACACTAACACCTTCTCTCATGCTCAGGCATGGCCGCCATATGATCCATGGAGTATTTGTAGGACTACAGCTATAGGGTGTCCCAACGATCAAAACTCGCTTTGATATCATGATAGACCACAAGCTTTCAATCCAAAATCTTAATCTAATAGATAAATTGGCTCATGTATATTATATATTATTTAAATATCTCTAAGATTACCGATGTGGGACTTAACACACTAACCGTTTGTGTTACTCAAATGGATATTTGATATATAGAACATCACTAATTCTATAGAATTTAATTAATAAGGAATGAAATCATGCACAATCAGACCAAGAAAGAAGTCAGATCACGCATCTTCAAATGGGTCGACCTGAAGACCAATCAATCGAAGAACTGGAAATTATCTTCACCACATGCAGAAAAGACGCTTCATGGGATGCAGGTAGGAAGAAAGCCGGTCTGGATTTTCTCGGGTGTAAATTAATCCAACTCCAATCGTTCTTCTTTGGTATTTGATTTTCGATTCACCGCTTGTAGCTGAGGCCTTGGCGGTTCGAGAAAGCTTGTATATATATGGCAGTAAATCTGGAGATTTCACACTTCCGAATCTACTCCGACAACTCAACGCTTATTGGAGCTATTACCAACAAGACACAAAAGAAAGATCTGCTGGGAATTATCAAGGATATTCAAGCGTTTTCTTCTGTATTTGTTTTTTGTTGGGCTTTTTATTTTTCTCGTAAAGACAATTTTGAGGCCGACTTTCAGGCAAAAGCGGCTCTCAGCTTAATGGGCTATTTGGTATGGGTTTATACCTAGGCCGAATCCAGCTCTTTTGCTTTAATTTTCAAGTATTTTGGTGACAAAAAAAAAACAAATTAGTAAGAAAATGATAAATCACAAAAATAAAATGAACCAATCACAAGTTGAGTCATCTCTGTTTTATCTCTTTTGACTAGAAACTGCTTATTCTGCTCGACTTGAAAGAGGGATGTGCATGCATGTATATGTGTATGTGAATGTTACATATGTTATTTTTTGTTTCTTATAACTATCAGTGTGTGTGGTCATGTCTCCTTAAATTTTTTGTTATTTTTTTGTTTCTTAGTCCCTCCTCTCTACCCGGGAAATACTCTCGTCGACTAGTTTTTATTACTTTATTTACCCATGGAGGATTTGAGTAAACAGCTGCCTCCATTAAACAAAATACTTGTTTAAAAAACTTGAAAAAGTCTTGTTATTGGAAAATTAAATATAGTGCTCTCTTTCTCAACCAACAATGTGTCCGAAACCTAATCTCTGATTCTTTCTTTCTCTCCCTCTTCCCAACTTTCGTTTCTCTCACAGTTACGAGAAAAATGAAAATCAATGCGATAAAGGTGTAAATTCTATAATCTCGTTAGATTCTTTGTTAACTCGAACGTTTTTAAATGTTTTTCTACAGAAACGCTGATTTGTTCTTTTGTTTGCTCTACAAGTTAGGGCTTGGCGCATTCGCAGTGTTATAGCATCTGAATTTCTAACAGAAAATCATGACGACCGTGAAAGGCCTTCTTAAAGGCCTTCGCTACATCACTCAGATTTTCGGTGAGTTTCATCTCATCAATAATTCACAACAACATCCTGACGTTTCTTGTAGCACAAGTCAGATCTTTGTATGATAAAAACCCTAATTGCAGATGAAGAGAAAGACCAAGATATCCAGATCGGTTTTCCCACTGATGTAAAGCATGTTGCCCACATAGGATCCGACGGTCCTGCAGCCAATGCGCCAAGCTGGGTACGATTTGTACATGTCTACGCATTTCTTTTCCATATATATACGCGCAATGCTGAATCTGATCAGATTACGAGGTTATAAACAATTTTAAATTAATTTTAGTAATATTTTTTTTTACCATTTGGAGACAATATGACCTATCTATAATATTTCTTCAGTTATATTATAATTGTCCTTTAAGTTTCTGCTGACTCATTAAGAAAACAATTAATTTTGCATATTTTCTATATAAAACTAGGTGTTCTACCAGCACTTGCGGGCATTATCCTCTTATGAATATTTATTAGTCAATATTTCATTAATTTAAAAATCAGCATAGTAAGTTGTTTTTTATGTTTTCAAAAAGTAGAAATCAAACATCAAATAATTATCAATGATAAAACTCAAACATCAGAAATAGTTTTTAAAAAAATATATTTCTATAACTATTTTCTTGATTTATATTTAATTATAATATTGATATATTAATTTAAATTTTATATTAGAAAACATATTTTCAAGATAACAATATAATGCATAAGTTATTTATTTTCTAAAAATATAATATGAGAATTTTTTAACTATATAATAATTATATAAGATTATAAAAATTATGATATATAATTAAAATTACCTAAAATTATTGAGAACTTAATGAATCAGCAAATTCACATATTAAATAATTTTTCTTGAGTGATGATTTATATTTAATTAATAATATATAATTTTCTATTTTACTTTTAAATTGTATAATATAAAAATATATTTTCAGAATAACAACATAATACATAAGAATTACCATATTCTTTAAAAGTATAATATTATTAGTGTAAATTTATTTCAATTATAGATTAACTATGACTTTTTATATCATAATTTTAAATTTCTAATAGAAAAATATATATTCATGACAACAACTTAATACATAAGCAATATCTTATTTTCTAAGAATCTGATACTATTAATATAAAATTTGTTTCAAATATATAATAAATTATATATAAAATTATATAAATTGATAAATTATTAAAATTACCTAAAATCATGGAAAATATGACAAATCAGCATACATCAAATTCACTTCTTAAATAATATTATAGATCTTTTTACATGTTAATTATAAATTTTATAATTAGAAAAATATTTTTTCAAGATAACAACATAATACATAAGAATTAAATTATTTTCTAAAATATCATATTATTAATATAAATTAGTTTTAGTTATATAATCTATAGTAAAAATATTATAGAAATTCTGATAAATGATCAAAATTAGTTAGGATCATGGAGACAAATCAACAAATTCACTTTTCAAATAATTTTTTTGATGATTTATATTTAATTAGGATTTTAATATAATTTTTATATCTTAATTTTAAGTTTTATAATAGGAAAATATGTTTTCAACATAACAACATAATCCATAATGATTATCTTATTTTAGAAAAATATTAAATTATTAATATAAATTCGTTTTAGTTATATTTAAATATTAAATTTTAATATAAATTTGTTTTAGATAAATATAATAGTGTTTATATCTTAATTTAAAATTTAAGTTTTATATATATAAATATATTTCAAGATAACAACATAATTCACAAGAGTTATCTTATTTACTAAAAATATGATATATTCTTATAAATTCTTTTTATTTATAAATAAAATATATAAAATTATTAAAAATATGATAAATAAACAAAATTATCTAAACTTATGGAGAACGTGACAACTAAGCAAAATTACTTCTTAAATAATAGTATAGTATAATTACCTATACACCTAGCTATATTTTAACTAATAGAATAATAAACTACAAAATAAAGTTAATAAATTTTATATTGAAAACCAAAAACGACATTTATTTTGTAACAAAAAAATTTCTCTACAACCACACTTAATATGAAACAGATAGAGTATTTATTTTAAAATAGGGGCCAAAACGGATGTTGTATTTGGGAAATGCATAGATCTGACCATGCATATATGTATTAATTTTTTCTTTTTGAAAAACTCATCATTGTTAAACACAAATATATGTACTGTAGATGGGTGACTTCAAACCTCAAGAACATGATGGTCAAGTAGTTTCCCGAGGAGATGTGACCAACAATCCAGTAGGTGAAGGAGTTGGATTACAAGAGTTGTTGCCTCCTCCAGAAAAACAGAAGCACAAGAAGACAAGGCGTAAATCCGAGACGACATCACAAAACGGTTCTCCTCCTAGGAGAAGCAGCAACGTTTCAACATCAGATATGCCACCCAAACATTCGAGACGTCACAGCAGAAGTAGACACGGGTCGATGGACTCCACGAATGATGCATCAATCAGGAGGAGGCGTGTTGTCTCGGTTAACGACGCTGAAGGTTCTGACCCTCTCTCAGATACTTCTGCTACTCGTAGAAAGTCTACATCACGTCATAGGAAGGTGAAAGAATCAGGAGGAGGAGGAGGAGAGGTCTCCATGAAGAAGACTAAAGCAAAACCCGAGAGTTCTATTGTTCAATCAGTCGATGTTTGTAATGATGTTAACACCAGCGACAAAGACTAAAACATAGAGAAAAAAAAACAAATTTGTTTCACAAAGACGATGAGTCACCACTAGAAAGGAGGTTATGAAATCATAGGAGAGATTCAAATTGTTGCAGTTTTGTCGAAACAGGTGACCATTGAATGATTGTACTGAGAAAAAGATTATCGGAGATAACTTAAGAAGTAACATGTCTATGTTGCGGACCAGCTATTTAGCAATTCGGTCAAAAGTAAAACTCATGAAACACAAATCAAGAATATTATATATATTTATTTATACAGTAGAACCTCTATAAATTAATACTCGATAAATTAATAATCTCTATAAATTAATAAATTTTACCGGTCCCAACTTGCCCCAGTGTAAAATATGTCACAAATCGATAAAATAATAAGATAATAATATTTTTAAAACTGCCATGTAAATATATAGTCCCACTAAAATCATAAATTAATAATTTAGCTATATATAATTTTATATAAGTACAATCTAACATTATATTGTTGGTGTTATATTTATTATAAAAATACATTTATTTTTAAAACATTTCAATATATTTTGATAATATTTAGTTAGGGGTTTTATATTTATTATAAATATACTTTTATTTTTTTAAACATTTCAATATATTTTGATAATATTTAGTTAAATTATATCGAAAACATGTAACAATTCTATGAAATATAAAGATATACACCAAATAAGATAATAAAACAATATAAAAGTCAAATTTCTAAAATTGAAATAATGTACATATGCTAAAATCGAATATATATTTTTATTAAAAATAAAAAATCTAAATAAGGAAACTTACGTAAATTAATATCTCTATAAATTAATAAAATTTCAAAGTCCCAACATTATTAATTTATAGAGGTTTTACTGTAGTTGAGATTTGTTTTTAGTATTGTGTATATCTATTGTAGGACCGCGAAAATCCTAACTGAAAATCACGAAATAGAAAAACGATAAGATGAGACGGAAAAAACGTTTAAGAAATCGTTAAGGAAATAGACGAATTCGTGGAGTCGAGATTTGATCTCTTTCCTTAACTCAATAAATCGTCCGTAATGTGAGACGGTTAGCTGTGATTATTGAATCCCAAGATACAACTCTATGTAATTCATTAAAATACAATTCAATAATATTTTTATTCTCTAATTCTCCAAAGATCAAAGCTAAGAAATGCACTTCTAAATTTTCTTCATAAATATTTGGCGATGTTAGAGAAGAAGTAATAAAAACATTAGGATAATAATTTTTGAATCATAGATTTTTGATAATTTTTTTCTTTCTAGCTATTTACTGAGAAACTTATATTACACAACGCAACGAGTATTTTTATTGAAATGGCTCATTAATCATAACCCTGAAACTCATACACACGACGGATCACATCTTATATATGGAGACAATCATATCATCTTCGTTTACCTAGCTGGAACGACTTCTTCAAGAACTGATTAGCAACACGATCATCTCTATAACAAAGAACTCTCAAGATCGTATTCGGATCCGACCTGTTCCATCTTCCTGTCGTGGGAGGCATAGGAAGCTTCTGTCCCGTCCCGACCAAACCCATCCCACTTGATTCACACGTCACGATACTAAAATCTTCCATAAGCTGCTCCGTTGGTTGACTCATCAACTGTATAACTCCTTCCACCGTCTCTCCCTCCCTATCAACCACCTCTTCTGGAATCAACCCTTCACCACAAGTGCAGTAAACCTTCTTCAAACTCTCGAAGTCTTCCTCTATTAGCTCGTGATCAGTTCGGTAGAAGACTCGTGAATGTCCTCCCGCTAGCAAAACCGTTAAAACCACTTCGAAAGATGCTTTCATGACTTCTCTCATCGCTAACGCTTGAGCTCGGTCGGCAAGAATCGCTGTCATTAACGTTAAGTTCTGTTTCAAGATCCGTAACGCAGGTTTGATCCTCGCGTTGGCGACGTCTCCTATGTAGAGACTCTCGTAGAAGACAGAGTATGAATCTAGGAAGATTAGTCTGTAAGCTGCAACTTCCGAGACATGTTGGCACGCGGTTTCGATTCCCGCTTGCGTGAAGTCGAAGTAAGAGGATGAGTTTGTCTTTTCGCGGTAGCGTTTACGCGCCGCGGGGAGGACTTTAGGGTTTAGGGAGAGAGCTTTGTTGAGGGAGTGGAGTTGAGTGCTTAGGAAGTGTAAAGTGTTGAGGCGTATGTAGAGGCGTTGTGTCCCTCGGCTCGTGGAGGGACGAGGGTGGTTGCCATCGGAGATAACTGGTGCGCCGCCGCTAAGGTTGTTAAGATCTTCACCGGAGGCAGTACACGGTGTAGCTTTCTTCCAAAGCTTTATGAATTTGGAGTCTCTGTTGCATCTTGTAAGTGGAGGAAGTGTTGGAATGTAATTCTGTTTTGAACCTGACAATAAATAAAAATAAACAGAACTATCAACGGTCTGATGAACTAAAGGAGTTGTGTCTTGTTTCTACACTCACCACATGATGCAACAAAGGCGGTGTATTCTTGGAATAGTTGTTCTAATCCTTCAGCGAGATCATGAACAAGATCCTCTGTAATCCCAATAGGGATCTCAAAGAACTCATCAATAGCATCCTTAGCTAGCTTCATCAACTCTCCAGCAGATTGTGCATATGGTTCTGATTTTGATTTAGGGTTCCATGTCTATATAACAAAATAACAAAGGTTTAATCGGATCAATGTTCAAAAAATAGTTAGGCGGTAAAAATGTGGACGTCTAAACCGCTTTTTTGAAAATCTAAACTAATTTATTTAAAAATCGTTTAAGAAAATTCATTTCGCTTAACTCCAATTTGCTGCTTAAACCGATTTTTAGAACACATGAGGATACTTGAACCGCAAGGTAAAGATTTTGAGAAACATACCTCAGCTTCCTTTGCTCTATTCAAGCATTCGTGAACTGTTTTCAATTTCTCTTCAGTCCATTGCTTTAAAAGCCGTAATATAACAGATTCAACTTCATAAGGAACCATCTCTCTAACAAGCCCTTTGCCTCCATCATCACACTCCTCTGATTCTTCAACCACCATCTGCACAAGAACCTTCTCAAGCTTCCCCGCTGTTAGCAGAACTTCCACAGTCTCTTTAGTGATAGTGGACCGGCCAGCTAAGTACTGCATCAAGATTGAACCATAACACTGGTGTAGCGAAACCGAGGCTACACCAGCTGCAACTGAGTACCATCTTTTAAGTATAGGGCTAAAACACTCTCGCTCACGCAAAGCAAGCTCCTCTGTCTCTTTAGCTAGCTCAAGTAACATCTTCGCCGCTTCTTCTCCTTCCTCTGTTGCTGTAGTTTTGGTCTTCAGGTTCTCTATCACCTGAAAAAAAAACGAATATGATCTCAAGAAACCATATAAGAGAAAAAAACAGATATGGCTTGTGGTACAAGTTACCTTTGAGAAAGAGTTTTTAATAGATGCTCTTATATAGTAATCAACACGATCTCCTGAAGAATCCACCAACTTCACATCACCTTTCTCTTGACTATTCCCTTGAGAGATCGTCACGTCTTCTCCCACGATCTTTGAGGAAGACAATGCTAATGGCAGAAGATTCTCTATCAATCCAACGTTCCCTCTCTGGAAATAGTCATGATAGCTCAACAACCTATAACCACCAAACATTCAGAATCTGATTAGTTCTTGTCTGTTCAACAAATTATAATCAAATATTCACCTTCGAATCAAACCAAAATAGTCATTTTATTCTTTACTTGTTTAATACGTTAGCATAAACCCTAACCCTAATTAGTGAATGGAGATACCTTTTTTCCGTCCATCCTTGCATAGAAGCCAATGTGGAGGTCAAAAGCTTCACATAGAGAGCCTCACGATCAGACTTCTTGGCGTCATTTGCAACTTCAGCCAACATGGCATGAGAGGCACCAAGCAAGTCCGGCTCCATCTGAGAAGTCACAATGTACTGATGAAACAGAACCCAAGTGAAACACAAGTTATGCACTGGCCTTGTGATTCCAAGCATTGACCATGTCTTCTTCATCAGTTCTAAAAGCTCATCTATCTCATCAAGAACCAATGTCTCATCACGAATATCGAAAATAGACTGCAAAAGCGCCACGTAAAGATGAATGTTAAGAGGGTATCCATCAGACCAATGACACACATCAGGGTTGGTGTTGCGACAGGCTAAGGAGACCACAGAGTTACAAAGTGTGGACATTGTCTCTGAGGCTTTCCCGGTGTCGATGGGTTTTGTCTCACTTTGTCTGATGATTTCACGGAGACGCATAGCGAAGTTGTTGGTTTTATCAAGAGGGATTGATGGGTGAAGGAGAAGACCAGCTTCAAGGACTTTAAGTTGTCTTCTTTGCCAAATCTGATACTCATGTACATCACCAAACTCTGATGTTTTAACATGGCGGAGAAGCTCTAACGGAAGGATTATCGTCTCTGCTCCCCTACCAGTCTATTAAAAAAAACACATTTAGTTTCTTTAATTAACCTAAAAACAGAGTTTTTTTTCATTTTAACAGAGGAGCTTACTTGACCAACAAGCGTTCTCGTTAGGGTTTTCCTGAGCCGAGTGTCACCTTGTTCCGTTACCCTCATTTGTTGCCTCATGATTTCCGCAGAAGTTAACGGTCGTCTAGGCCGAGAAGGCGGGACGGTCAAGAACCCAGCTCCTTGGCTAATGTGTAAGGAGGAACCACCTCCTATGTTTACACTACCAGGAGAGGAAGGAGCTGACTTGGCTCCCAAGGCTGCTCCTATTGTTGTAGACATTCGCCTAGAGGGAGATCTTTTAAGCATTTTCAACCCTAAAGCTCTTTTAACTCGACTTGTCGGTGTTGTCACCACTTCTTTCCTCCCTGAAGATCCGAATCCAGACCCGGATCCACCTCCTACTCCATCTCCTTGATTGTCACCACCATTGTGCTTTGAGTAGAACGTGAGAGCGGTTCTTCCTCCAAACCCTGGTGATGATCTACACGCAGCGAAAAAGATCTCGTACGCGGTCTCCCGGATCTCATCCCGATCAAGCCCATCAAGCTTCCCGAATGGCCAGAGAAGATCAGTGTCGGGACAAACGATGGAGCCGGCCATGTCGGAAAAGGACTCCCTCCGGGAATGATGAACCATCGCGGAGGGGAAGCAAGGAGGCAAAGGAAATGATCAGACAGGATTCAAGTTTTTATCAGAATTCAGAGAAAGTGAGGAGAGAGAACGGAGTTCTTGGTTTTTAATAAAGGGAAACAAAATGAGAGACAGAGAGAAAATGAAGAGGTGGAGACAACTTGGAAACGACAGCATGTTTCTCTGTCATAAGGAAGAAGAGAGGATGTGAGAAAAGTTAGGAGGTACTCTTGATATTAGCTAGAATTAGCAAATCTCCTATTTCAAGTAACTTTTTCGAATGCCAACTCTTTTTTTTTTACTTAATCCATATGTAATTCTTTTCCATATAACATGACTGTGTTAACAATAGCATCAAATATCAACTGAATCCAGCAATGTTAAGAGGCTTGTTTCTTAACATACCTCTGCACCTTGCTGTTGTTGATGTGTCAGAAAATATAAGACAGGATTCTGGTGTATCAATGCTGTCTAAAGCAGTTTCCTTTGCCAGTTTTGAATACAGGAAACATTTGAGTTTAGTGACCTCTTAACCTTATAAAAGATATAATCTCATTATACTGAAAGGCTTGACCACATAATTGAACATGAAGAAAAAAGAAATATAAACAAGTTTTGATGTTATAGTTAACCTGTAAAAACTATGGAAAGAAAAAACTACCTGAAAAGTTCAGATATGAATTTTGATGTATGTAAAACTCTCAGCCTCTGTAAACAATTCAGCTGTAACATATTCATCAAAACCATTTTGCTGACAGAACTCATCACAAAATGTGACAAATTAGTGACGTAATGCCAAGAATGTTTCTGTCTCATTTATTTCACTGCAAAACATCAGATGAATGCATATTAGTAAATAAGAAACATTGTGATGTTGCAACCGCTCAAAGAACATTTCAAAACCTCAGGACACGAGAAGTAAAACAAGGACAAGATTTAACTCATACTTAAAGTAGTTATTAACCTGACCGAGCTCAGAGAGCAAGTTTCAAAACAGAGTATCGAGCCACTCAAGATAAGTCTGACTAGCTTTAAGAAGATAAAATTCACAATCTTAGACTGGCAAAGATGACAAAGTATATCATCAACATTGATGTCTGGTTCTACAGACAAATTCAGATTTTGTAGTACACAAATCCTAAGAATGCAACTACAAGAAATTTGCTGATCAAATACAATAACATAGCAATTAAAAATAATTACCAGATCCATGAGTCACTTACAAATACACACTAATAATAATTACCTCATAGTATGAAGTGGAAGCAAACATTGACTCTCTTTTCTTATTTTTCACCATCATCTTAACAAACAAATAAGCTTTACACACTCATGACCATTACTATTCCTAGTCTCTTAATGATCTGTACCAGGAAGACACACAAATTAAACACGAATCTAACAGAACATAACCATAAGTCCATAACAAAGCCCAGAAACTGTTATACTGACAATTAATGGGTTCCACTGTTTTGAGGAAACCCTCCAAAAATAGGCGTATGCCACTTAAGCGTGGAGAGCACACGGTATTCTTTAGTAAAAGGCGAAAGAATAGTTCGCTTTGTGCTCACCACATGGCTGCGTGATTTTCAAACGAAAGAACGAGACCTTATTTATAATACAACTTCTACTGCTTATCACTCTCTCTTTCCCGATGTGGGACTGAGAAACAAAATAACCAAAAGACGCTACTGTACTAAAAACCCTTACTGGGCTTAAGTGGGCCTTAAATATATTGCAAGTACTGGGCTTTAAACACACAAGTGATCGTCCTCTTCCGTCAAAGCTGAGCTGAGTGAAAAAACCCTAGCAAGACGCGTCACTCTATTTAAAGCCGAAAACCCTAATTCCTGTCTTTCAGATCTCTTCTCAAGCCGTCAACAATGTCGAAGCGAGGTTCGTACTCTTCTTCTTCTTCTTCTTCTTCCTCGTTTCAGTGCTTATACATTTCTCTAATGACGTTTTTACCGTTTTGATCAGGACGTGGAGGAACCTCTGGTAACAAGTTCAGAATGTCACTCGGTCTCCCCGTCGCGGCCACAGTGAACTGCGCCGACAACACCGGTGCTAAGAACCTTTACATCATTTCAGTGAAAGGAATCAAAGGTCGTCTTAACCGATTACCTTCAGCTTGCGTCGGAGACATGGTGATGGCCACTGTCAAGAAAGGAAAGCCTGATCTCCGTAAAAAGGTTATGCCAGCTGTCATCGTTAGGCAGAGGAAGCCGTGGCGCCGAAAGGATGGTGTCTTCATGTACTTTGAAGGTAAAAATATATATACTTTCGTCTTAGTGTTCTGTCTTAATCGATAGCTTGCTTTGTTTTCTAATGTTGATTGATTATCCAGATTAGTGTCATGTTTACCGACACGTTTAGAGGGTATATTATGCAAAACAGTCTGGTAAACTTAAGTGTGTTCTATCGTTACAGATGCTTTTAATGCTTAAAATGCTTGTATCTGCTCCATTTGAACTCGATATTTATGTTGTTAATGTATTGCTTAGTTGCATTAGTGAATCTGTGTTCTTGTTTTTTCCCCAAGATTTAGTCATGTTCAGTATTGTCATTAGAGATGTTAGTGAGCTGAGTAAATTCATGTGGTTGAAATTATATCTCAGGCTTAAGTCAAGTATCCACCGACACGTTTAGAGGGTGTTTGATACGGTTACAAGTCTGGGAAATTTAAATTGTGTCTTTCGTTACAGATGCTTTATTGCTTTAACGCTTGCGTCTGCTCCATATGGACTCTACATATTACTCACTACTTGATTGCTGTTTCTTTGCAGCTGTCTGTTGTATGTATAATAGATACTAATTTGGTGGCTTGTTTGTACATTTTGATAGATAATGCTGGAGTGATCGTCAACCCCAAGGGAGAAATGAAGGGTTCTGCGATCACTGGTCCTATTGGTAAAGAGTGTGCTGATCTCTGGCCAAGAATTGCTAGTGCTGCCAATGCCATTGTCTGATAAACAGACCAATAACTAGTCTGTCTTTGCTCCCGTTTGATTTGTCATTCTGAATCTTGTTGGTTTTCTAAATATATGAAAACAAATTGCAGAATTTTGGTAGATGGTATTATGATTATTCTGGTTATTTAGACATTTTTTGGGTCTTTCTTTTTATGCTATTTAAAACCTGCTCATTGTTGAAGTTTGGTTCAGAATTGCTGTTAATCTTGAGGCACATAACTGCGGTTAATTATGAGATTGATCAAGAAAAACAAAATCAAAGACTTACAAACGATACTCAAAATGACGATCATAGTACAACACCCATAAAAAACAAATAGGCATAATAATATAACATCAAAACCTCTCACTGCATACTATTTTGTGCTTATAAGACCATGTAATCAACTCAAATCCAAGACTGGATTGGATAGCTGCACTTGAATGAGTTCAAACCACACCTGAGACCCTTCTTCTTAATAATCATCATCTTCTATTTCCCATAGGAACCGAGCGTACTCTCCAAGTATAATGCTGGTGGCCAAAACACAGAAGAAGACGATGGTCGCATTTTCAGTGAGAGTTTTGTGTAAGAGAGATTCTATACTTGTAACTGTACCTGTCATTTGGAGAGGCTTCAACGGCCTTCTCGAAATAGAATAAAGCCTTCTCCTGGTCACCTTTAATACTCCAAAACGCTTTCGCATATCTGCATAGCGTTTCTACATCCTCTGTTTCAGACAACCTTGTACCTTGTTTTCCCGCTCCCTCAGGCTTATTTTTCCGGACAGAAACAAAACCACAGACATTAGAGACTTACCACTTTTAGCTAAGATATCAAAGAAATGACACAAACCTCAGAGTCTTCTTTTCCTTGCCTTGTTGAGCCTTCAAAAGAGTCATCAGAGTCGTCATCCTCAGCATCTATCCCCCAGAGGAAACTAGCATATGCTCCAAGAACATTGCTGAAAATAAAAAATATATACATCCAGGTTAATTATTTATCACATGGTGTGACCAAAACCAAAATGAATGTTCCCAACAAACCTATCCTCAGGAGATGCTTGAACTGCACGTTCAAAGTAGCTTGAGGCTTTAGCTTCATCTTTATGAAGCTGCATCACTAATCTACCATAGTTTGCTAAAGCTACTCCATCACTAGGCTCAACTACAGTACATTTATAATAATACTCTTCTGCTCCATTAAGATCTCCTCTGTACTGTTTTTACGATTACAAAAGCTTTCCATTAATAGAAACTACTTCAAAACAGAGTCACTACACAAGACTATGATTGGAATGAATCAAGATACCTCCAAGAAACTGGCATAGTTTTTGAGAAGTAAAGGATGTGATGGATACTCATCAAGAATTCTCTTGTAGTAATCACCACAACTCTCATCATCCAAACTCGGTAAATCGAATTTGATCTCTTTACCATACAAATCGAACTTATCAACCCCAAGCCCTTCAGATAAATGCATAGGAGGACTTGGTGGTCGTTCATCGTCTATCTTATTAATAACCACCTCTTCATTTCCAGATTCGTAGTAACTAGAGAAAGATGGCTCGCTCTTGAGCATCTTTTGGATCTTTACTTCCAGTCTTCAACTTTGGTTACAGTTCAAAGTCTCTCAAATCGTGTTATTCCGCAAATGTCATTTGTGGACATTGATACGGAGGACCCTCGAGACAACAACTGAACGAAGACAGTTTTAAGTGACTCTCAGTTAGGGACATGAGGATAAGATTCCCCGGGAAAAAGGCAAAGTACCAACCACCACTTAGATAGTATCTTTCTTGTTTACAAAATTATCTCTCTAGTTTACTTTCTTTCTATTTAACCCAGCCATCACTCCATAGTCTATATTTTGTAAGCCATACTTGAAACTGCTACTACATGCTTGATTTAGTTCTTTTTCTTTATCTATTGCAACCGTGACGTTTTAACATGACCACTCCTTTTCGAACATGATTTGGTGAATTATCTTAAAAGAAATTATGTGACTATATAACCTATGATAGTATAAGTCTAGGGGCTATTTGATCTATTTAGCCATTGTATAATTTGACATAGTCAAGCAATCTTTACTCGTTTTAGTCATCATTGTCACACTATTCACACAAATTCTTATTCTTATTTGAGACATGCAATTAAAAAAAACACGTAAACATTGGTGCACAGTTCATCACTATAATGCCAACGAGTCATCTCCTAATATAAGTAAACGTCAGCTAAAGACACACCATACTTCTCCTAATAGACTCATACCGTTGTCATTCTCACAAACACAAACCTAAAATTAAACAACAACAAAAAAAAAATGGCCATTATTAACCTTGCTCCCTATCGGATATGACCATCATTGACCAAAACAATCTTACCTCTTCTTCATTCATCATCAAAACTTCTCAGAATCAACAAGAATCAAGAATTGCGAGAGAGAAACATCTCATTGTTTCTCTCGCAATTCCCCTCCTCTTTCACACCCTTACCTAAAAAAATAATGCATCCAAAAAAAACATTGATGTGAAAAAAAAAACACAATCTCTTTAATCACAATGTCGATGATGTTCCCATCGTTCCAGCTCCTAGAGCTGAACATAATCTCAGCACAAGACCTAGCTCCCGTCGCCCGCAAGATGAAGACATACGCAGTCGCATGGGTCCACTCCGAACGTAAACTCACCACACGCGTTGACTACAACGGTGGAGCAAACCCAACGTGGAACGACAAATTCGTATTCAGAGTCAACGAAGAGTTTCTATACGCAGACACATCAGCAGTCGTCATAGAAATCTACGCCTTGCATTGGTTCCGTGACGTCCACGTAGGCACGGTCCGTGTCCTCGTCAGCAACCTCATCCCACCTAACCGTCGTCCTGGATACAGAACAACCAACAACGAGTACCGTCGCACGCCACCTCCGGGTATGAGATTCGTAGCGCTTCAAGTTCGTCGTACATCAGGCCGTCCTCAGGGGATACTAAACATCGGTGTTGGAGTTCTTGATGGTTCCATGAGAAGCATGCCGCTTTACACGCATATGGACTCCTCTGCTGTAGGGTATAGAGACTTGCTCGGTGAAGAGGATCGTCATCTACAGCATTTGCATTTGAACAGCAACAAAGGAAGCTCTAAGAATCCTCAATCTCCTTCCACGTCGAGGCAGTTTCAGTCTGTGGTTTCGAGACCAGAGCTTCGACGTACGAAGAGTGATACTAGCTCCATGGTTGTTTCTGATCTTCTAAGCAGAGCTGAGAGGAGCCGTTTGGCTACTAGAAAGCCAGCGAGTGCGGTTGCGAGCAGTGAATCTGAAGAAGCTGTACCAACCACGACGACGGACTCTGAAGACGCTTATACACCTCCAAACAACACACATAACGTTACAAGGCAGAGATACGACTCTATCGAGTCGGATCTCACGGAACCATCAACGATGGTGAAACCAAACGTGCATGTGGTGACGACTCATGAACCACCTACTCAACCTTACAATTCCCATCATCAGCCACGTAAAACACCGAGAAAGACGCCAATGCACGAGAAGCAAAGACCGGTCAAAGACTATAATCACCGAGGCAGAGCTTCACCGTACTTATCCAGACACGGAACGCCATTGAGATCAAACATCGTCGCATCGACTCCGATGCAAGCCAACGGGATTAGATCAACTCCAATGAGATCAAACATGGTCGGAATGTCGCCGATGCGTCCCAACATGGTCGAACTAACTCCGATGCAGACTCCAAGACGGTCCAACATGTACGGAACAACTCCAAGGAGGTCAAACATCGTTGCCTCCACTCCTATACGATCAAACTACAAGGCTACACCGATGAAGTCTCATCACAATTACGGTACACCGATGAGGTCATCGAACTTCGCCGGGAGGAGAATCTTAACCGACTCGGAGTTAGGTCCATCGTCATCAGAAATGATGAAAAACAAAGCTCATAATAACGAGACAGAGAGCTCGATACTTAGTGACTGGAGCGTGGACGACTCTAGCATTGAAGGAGCACGTTCGAAGCTTGAGATGTGGAGGACGGAACTACCACCGTTGTATGACATAGGATCAAGCCAAGTGAGCAGCACTGATTATGACGGTTCGGTTGTTTATGCTCCCAATGGAGGAAAAAGTTCTAGACGGAAAACTCCAGCGGGGAAAAATGTTAATCGTCGTCATAGCTCTGAAGGTAACGGTCTTTTCTCGTGTTTCAGTAAAATTTGCGGTGTGGAATGCAGTTTCGTGTGCGGCGGTGGTGGTGGTGGGGGTGGCGGTGATGAGTCGAAGAAAGGTGGGGGTGGTGGTCGCGTTCACCGCACATACTCTGCTGATGATTTGAGCTCTTTATGATTTTATTATATTTTTTTGGTACCGATTGATATATTGTTATTTTTCTTTTGGGGAGGAGAAAGTGAAAATGCGCGGGAGGAATTATGCAACAGTGTTTCTAGTAAAAGAAATGTTGATCTTATCACTGTTTCATGAATTATTTTTTTTTATCGTGTTGTGTTCTTGTTTTACATTATTAAAAAGAAAAAAATTACTTGCAAATTAGGGTAACTGTGATAGTATCAGAGTGAAAAGTTTATACACGTTTAACGAAACATCTATACTATTATTTAAGAAGTAAATTTGCTTAGTTGTCAACTTCTCCTTGATTTTAGGTAATTTTGTTTATTTACCTTAGTTAAATAATTTCATATATAAAAATATATTTTTCTATTATAAAATTCAATTATTTGAGAAGTAAATTTGCTTAGTTGTCAACTTCTCCTTGATTTTAGGTAAATTTATTTATTTACCTTAGTTAAATAATTTCATATATAAAAATATATTTTCTATTATAAAATTCAATTAACTTAACTGATTGATTTGTAACTTCTCCGTGATTTTTGTAATTTTGCTTATTTTTTATATTTTAATAATTTTAATGAATAATTTATCATATAATAAAACGAAATTCTATTAATAATATTATACTTTTAGATAATAAGATAATTCTTTTGTATTATATTTTTATCTTTAAAATATATTTTTATATCATAGAAATTAAAAATTAAGTAAGAATATTAATAATTACATATAAAGAAAGCAATGCTGATTTATCAACTTCTCCATGGTTTTATATTTTGCTTATTTATCATATTTTAATAATTTCATATATAATTTATTAAATAAGAAAACGAATGTATATTAATAATACTAGATTTTTAAAAAAATAAGATAATTCTTATGTATTAGATTGTTATCTTGAACATATATTTTCTATTAGAAAATTTAAGTGAATTATCAAATTTCTAATTTCTCCATGATTTAGATAATTTTGATTATTTGTCTTATTTTTAATAATTTCATATAAAATTTATTATAAAATAAAAATGAATTTCTATTAAAATTATATTTTGAGAAAATAAGATACTTCTTATGTATTATATTGTTATCTTGAAAATATATTTTTTTCTAGAAATAAAAAAATTAAGATAGAAAAATTATAATTAAAATAAATTAAAGCAACACACTTGTAAAAATATATATTTTAAAAAAAAAAATTTATGTGAGTGTTGTCATTTATAATTAATTTTAAAATATAAATCATAACTTATTATATTAGTTTTAATTAATAAAATATAAACTAATAATAAGTTGTACGAAAATTATGCCCGCATGTGCGGGCAAAACACCTAGTAAAACTAGTATTTGAAATATGGATCACATCATCTTCCTAATTTAGTTTAATCTACTATTGATGAGAGCGCTAAATATACTGATAATTAATCACTATAAAGTGTTAAGACAAAAAAAAAAGTGTTAAGACTTATTTGATCCAAAAAAAATGTTAAGACTTATTGTAATTAGTCAGAATTTTTGGTAATTAACAAAGGCAAAAGTCTCTTGGCTAAAGTTATAGAGATGGACCAAAATATTGGAAACAGGATAAAAATGAAGCCAAAACTAAACATATTTTTGGTTCATACATGATACAACCATGTAGCTCAGTAATGATTTTAATTTCCACCAGATACATTGAAGAGAGCATGAGATTAGTGTACTCCCTTGATGATGTTTTGATCAAAGTGTAATTCTGCAAACCAATGGCTCTTCAAAGGATCATCAAACATCATGATGAATATCTAATCACCACGATTTTATAATAATGATGTTTAAAAGAGTGGCTTCTCATCCGAAAGCATTACAGTATCGCCTTTATTACACAATTAACAAATACAAGTGGGAACCAAAAAGACAAGAACCATTTGAACAAGAAGCAAAACGTTAGCCAATAATATAACAGTTTGTTATTGCACACACGCACCCAACTGCAAACAAGGTTCTTGGGACTCTCTTCCTCTAGCTGCTTGAACCAACAGTAACGCAACGAGAACACGACAGGTTTGATGATGTCGGGGAAGTAAAGTATGAGAAAATTAATATTGAAAAACAAAAGAGAGACTTTGGTTAGGAAAATTGGCATTATGGTATGGCTATTACAAGACAGATAGGGTCCCCACTTCTCATCACTCTCTCCTATACTCTGCTTTCATCTATCTCTTGTCTCTCTCTCAAATAAGAGAAGACTGAAGAAACCCTAAAGGCTAAAATACCCACGCTCTCTTCTTTTGTCTTCATCAACTCTGTCCTCAAGCCTCTTCTCTTGGACGGTTCTTTGAAAGTCTCTACCTTTCGATATCTTTAGATTCTTGACTGACAATGCGTGGTGGGTCAGAGTTGGAGCTAGGGAAGAGTAATCTTCCGGCTGCTGAGAGTGAGCTGGAGCTCGGATTAGGTCTCAGCCTCGGCAATGGCGCGTGGAGAGAACGGGGAAGGATTCTAACGGCTAAGGATTTTCCTTCTGTTGGGTCTAAACGAGCTGCTGACTCTTCCTCTCACCATGGAGCTTCTCCTCCTCGTTCAAGGTTCTTCCTTTTTCAATAAAGCTTAGAACTTTATGTTTGTTTCGATGTGTGAACATGTTACCATCTCGAAACAGAGTCCTTGTAAGGAACTAGTTAGCTTCTGTTATAGCATACCCTGAATCAGACTTAAGTTTCTCGATAATGTTTCAAAATTTGATGAGCCTTTAGTTTCTTGATCTGTTACAGATTCTGCTAGGGAGTCATTTATGCTTATGCTAAGATTTTCTGAGAGTACTAATGATTGCATCTAAACTTTGGGAGTAAATGAGTGAACTTTGTTGTAGCAGTCAGGTAGTGGGATGGCCACCAGTTGGGTCACACAGGATGAACAGTTTGGTTAACAAACAAGCTATGAAAGCTGAAAAAAGAGAAGGAAAAGAAGAGGGGAAGAAGAAAGTTATGAAGGAAGAAGATGAGCCTAAAGATGTCCCAATGAAGGTAGTTCAGGGTTCAGGGTTTGTGAAAGTGAACAAGGATGGAGTTGGTATAGGCAGAAAAGTAGACATGAGAGCTCATTCATCTTATGAAAACTTGGCTCAGACGCTTGAGGAAATGTTCTTCGGAATGACAGGTCAGAACGGCTTATACTTTCTTCAGACTGATCTTTTGAACTATAGAGTTTGACTGACATTTTATACTTTGACATGATCAGGAAAGGTGAAACCTTTAAGACTTTTAGACGGATCATCAGAGTTTGTACTCACTTACGAAGATAAAGAAGGTGATTGGATGCTTGTGGGTGATGTTCCATGGAGGTAATGAATCGAAAAATGGCTTGGTTTTAGAAAGCTATTAGTCTCTATTAAGATCTATAAATCAGTTCAAACTTCTTTTTGTTATTAGAATGTTTATAACTTCGGTGAAAAGGCTGCGTATCATGGGAACCTCGGAAGCTAATGGACTTGGTAAATATCATACTTCTTGTTTATAGATTTCTCTTTTTGACTAGATAAAAAACGATTGAAACATTTTTAATGCAGCTACAAGACATCAAGAACAGAAGTAGTGACTCTTCCAAAGCAAGCATTGACATAGTTTTTTTTTGGTTTGGCAAGTTGCTCAATAAGTATACATAAAAGTTGAAGCTTAGATTTTGATATATTAATCATAGGTTCCCGGATATGGCTTTTCAGGTGATTCAACTCTTGGTCTTTTTCTTTCAGTTGTGTCTCAGAGAGAATGGTCTTGATATGTATTATCTTCTCTCACTTTGTAAATAGTTGAAGCTATCTTATGTGATGGGAGTTCCGTTTCTTGTGATGACTGTTCTTGATTCCTGAGGAATGAAACTCACTTTCCTTAAATATGGTTCCATGTTTTTACTGTCTTTTGGTGTTTCAATCGATTGAAGACAAAACGTTTTGAAGAAAACAGAATAAAATGTTTATGAAGACCACATTTATTACACAAAAATGTTTTAACTATGATTTTAATCTGATAGAATTGATCTCATAAGCATAATGTAGTTGAATTTGGAATCATGCTCACCTAATCCAAATATTTAACAGGGCAGCAGAAAGATAAAGTGATGATGCTAAAGTTGCTTAATAGTTAATAACGCAGCTCCAGTTTATGGACCATTGCTAATTATGTAACTTTGATTGCAAGTTAGTTTCCTTCTTTAGAAACTTATTAAAGAATAAGAAGCATTGGTGTATATAGTCGGTTACTTTAAATAATCGCTGACAACATATACTTACTTACCAATATATGGGTAGTAGCCTGCAACATTTAATATGATCAAAACATTAAGTAGATAATTTAAAGAAAGCACTTGGAGATTCGAGTTCGATGACAACACTGGCTATATCCAACACTTTGGAACCACATCAAGACACGTGTCCCACCACCTGTAACCAGCTGAACACTGAAGGTCCTCTATGCATGACACGTGTTCCTCGCCAAGAAACCGCCTAAGCTTCGCGTATATAAATAACTATGTCACATTTGCTCGTTACAATCACCGAACGAGTAAAAAGCTTTGTTGGATTTGGATAAGAGAGTGACAAAGAAACAAAAGATAGTGTTGAAGAGGAAATTCAAAAGAGATGGCAACGACGGTGGGAAGAAACATAGCAGCACCATTGCTGTTCTTGAATCTGATTATGTACCTTATTGTACTTGGTTTCGCAAGTTGGTGTATCAACAAACACATCAACGGCCAAACTAACCACCCAAGTAAAAACTATTCTCTGAATCTCTCTGTTTTACATTTCATCTTAAATAAAGTTGTTACTTGTTGTTACTAATATAAGGATCTTCTGTCAAAAATTTAAAATAGGTTTTGGAGGCAATGGAGCGACACCATTCTTCCTGACATTCTCGATCTTAGCAGCTGTTATAGGGATAGCTTCAAAGTTGGCAGGAGGTAACCATATTAGGTTCTGGAGGAACGATAGTCTTGCCGCCGCAGGGTCTGCCTCTATCGTTGCATGGGCCGTCACTGCTCTTGCCATGGGGTAATGTCTATATTATTACCAAATCTGTTACTGTAAATAAACGAAGAAGTTGTATTAGGCATCTTGTATTGTATAATGGTTCATATAATAGAGTTATTAATGTGTTCAGGATGTGACATATGGTCTTGTATTCTGTGAGATCTTAAATAATTTTTTTCTTTTTTTTTGGAATAAGGTTGGCATGTAAACAGATAAACATAGGAGGATGGAGAGGATGGAGATTAAGGATGATTGAAGCGTTCATTATAATCCTGACGTTCACGCAACTGCTCTACCTCTTGTTGATTCACGCTGGTACATTCAGTAGCAAGTATGGTCCTGGATACAGAGACACTGATTACGCTACAGGTCAAGGCCATCATGTACCAGGCACTCATGCTGGCGAGCACAAGGCTGGTGTTGGAACGCACATGCCTGTTTAGAGTCTCTCTTCTTGTGTTTGTTGTGATGTTAATTGCATAATAAGTGTCTTCTGTTGCTTTTCAAGTTATGTAATACCGTGTTTCTATCGGTCTGACAGACATATGAACCTTCTGTGTTCTTTTGATATATGGATTTGTGTGTTTTATAAAATCAAGTGGAACCACATCTAATCAATCTTACATGAAATTGCACAAACCAAGTCATAACTCACATTCCCACAAAACGTAATCAACTTATGCTTCATGTTCTGGTCGGTTCTCAGTCGCAGCTTCTGTTTCTTGGTGATTATCCACATTTTCTTTGGTCTCTTCTGCCTCTTCAGGATTCACCACTCCTGATATTATAATTCAAACAGTTGCAAACCATGAGGTTTTCTTCCAAGGATCTAAATGTTTTTATTCGAATATATCAATGGTGGCTTTAGATGGTTAATCATCAGTGACCTGGTTTCTTCTTATTCTTCCTTGAAGATCTTCTCGATTTATCATCTGATGATGTATCGAGGAAAAGACTGCTATACTTCGCCAATACCCTTTCTTTTTCCTCAACCATTCCTAAAAGCTCGTAAGCATCAGCCACTATCTGCACTACATTTTTATCCGGAGGCTTACGGTCATAACTCTCCAGATCCTTAAACAGCTTCATTAACAAACAAACAAAAGAAGTTTGATATCAGCAGAGTGAGTACATAAAGCTAAACTGCAAATCATCTAAAGACATACCTTTACAAGTTCCTGTAACATGTTGTTCCGGAAATATATGCGAATCATTTGCAAGCATAACTGCCAAGGAACAGAATGAAGATCATGCCCGATTTTCTTGCGCCAGATAGCATGTGCCTCTTCTGCTCTACGATCCATATCTAACGCTCTTATCAACTGTCCATATGTCCCCATTGTGGTCCCTTGTCCCTTACTAAGGATCCACTTTATAACCTACAAGTCATTCAAAACAGAGGATATGTACTATGGCTTTTGATCATTCACGGTACATGAGTTCCAAGGTAAGCGAAAAGAAGGGAGAAAGCATTCACCTGAACCATACGATGCCATTGATGTTCCTTTTCAAGAATAGCTATAACTCTTTTGAGGGAAGCAATGGGGAAATTGCGTTCCCAAGCAACCCAAGCATCTAATGCTCCATAAACCGCCTCTTTATTATCTTCTATATCAAGAAGCTGCACAGTCAACGAATTAAGGTTTGACAATAAGAACACAAGCCAAGGTTGAACAAGAATATGGGATAATTCTCATCATCAAACAAAACTATTAGAAAGGCGGAACGGAAAAGCTGCAATTTCTGCTTACAGTGTTCACAAGAAACTTTATTTTATCCTTCTTAGGTATGTTCTCTCCAACTTGATGCTTCCTAGGGGTCTCACCATTTTCCTTCTTTGGTGAATTCACAACATTTTTATCATCCTACATCAAGATGTACACGATGAAATGTGCAATTCTCAGGATTTGCTAACAAAACGTACATGGATCAAAGGACGTATTTGATAAATCAGAAACATCAGTTCTGTGATTAAAAATACGAGTCTACCGAGAGCGAAAGGCCACTAAATGAGAATACAAACATTTCAGGAGTAGATATTATTATGCTTCTGGTACACATAGAGTGAGCTCACACTAAGAGTAAGGTAACAAAACAAAAAAAAGCCAAAACTTGAGTGCATACTATTGTACCTCAGATTCCAGAGAAGGTCTACGAGAGGCATGTGAATCAGCCACAAACTGATAGCTCATAGACTGGACCCTTGAAAAGACAGGCTTGTGTGTTTGGTTTGCCTGAAAAAACAGCATGTCTCACACAATGAGATGTCTGCATACAAATATTATAATCTTAAAAATCTATGCTTTTAAGTTTTCATCATATAAGCAGCAGACATGTAGTAAATGTATTAGCTTTCTACGATGTTTAAGACGCAAAAAAACATTTCAAAGATGAAAACTTTACCCCGACAAGACGATGAAATGGACTAGTAAGAGTGCCAACATTACTTGCTTGCTCACCTAACAACAAATTAGAGTTTAAATCATTTACATAGAGATGCCGAACTAAGATTCGAACCATACAACAACACTTCATGCCCAAAATGGCCACTTCAGCTCAAAGTTCAATTTTTTTTTTTTTTTTAAATAATGATGATTAAAACAGTGAACTAACCATTACATGCTCCTCCGGTGAAGATATTTCGTACGGCGTGGATAGTAGATATCGGCGTCGATAGGTTAACGGTTGCTCTAGAAACGGCGCGTTTCAGAGGCGTTTTAGGTATCAGAGAACTGAAACCCGCCATCGAAGAGGGAGGGAAGAGCAGGTAGACGGAGTCACGGAGACGTATTTGACGTTATTTTTCATAAAATTTAAAGCCCATTGGGCCGAAAGTTGGCCCATTCGCTTCTTTATTTGTATTTGATCCGTAGAATAATCGATATTATTATAATAAACCGGGTTGGTTTAACGGAATTGAGATTGATTGAGGGTAATCTAGCAATTACATTGTTTCTTTCATGAGCTCATGAATATAAACAACAACATCATCCATTTTGAAACCGATTAAATCTTAAACTGCATGCAAGAAAATGAGTTTCTGCGCTCCCTGATAAGTGATAACACCCAGCTTCCACTTTTCTCAAGGATTAAGAACTTGTTTCAGCTTCCTTCCTAAGCCTCTAATGGGTGTTTACTACTACTGATTCGCCTTAGTGTTACATGTAAATTAGTCCCAAGTTTGTGGAAAGGACAATTCTCTAAGATAGCTTATTACACATTTCTGTCACAAAAAAATGATCAAAAAAAGATTTCATTAAAGGTCAAAAGATTTTTAAGCCTCTTGGTTTATGAATATATAAAAATAAAGAATAAAAAATTATAATTTGGATTATATGTTTTTAAATACGAATTTTTATAATTTTTCAGATCTTTTTAATTCAATTTTTTAAAAAATTATTTTCACAATTTTATTTTATTTTTTTAATATTTAGTTTATATTTATGAATATTTTAAAATAATCCCTTAATTCTAAACAAAAAAAACTAGTATTAGTTGACCATAAAATTATAAAAATATATTTATTTTCACTAAAATCCTTTTGGTCATTTTTTAAATTTTTCTGAAAATAAATTAAAGGAGACTATCAAATTCCCAATAGGTTTCATTTTAGTATTGAAACTGACCACCTGTTGGCTCACTTTCATCTTCTCTGGCCTTGTGACTTGTAGGTCAAGAAATCTCAATGCGGGAGTTTATACTGTGAACGAAGTTTTGGTATAACATATGACTTTATTATGACACAAAGACGACCAACTAGGCCGTGGACAAGCCACTTCATTTCGTTTAACAAAAATCACAATACTTTAGGTAACAACTCATGAGTGCTTAACGATCAAGCCGGTTTGTCTTTTGGTCCAAACAAGTTCTTATAAGATGCATGAACTGACTTTTAGATAATTAATATAATATTTGGGGTCAACTCATAGGGTAAATTCTTAAAAGTGTAGTAACGAAGAATATTAAACAAAGAAGCGATGACAATGGACAACCACGTATAAACTATTTTTAGTAATGGACAGCTACTGAAGCAAAAAAAACAATAATAATAATTGAGTCATAAATTTAAATATGTTTAATTTAATAAAATAAAAGGGTGAAAAGAAAGATTATGAATTTTGAGGCAAAATGCAATGTACATCTGCATGAATATTGGGAGATGGTTTAAATTAAGCAATTACCCGTTTTCCGAAGCATTTAATTATAAGATAATCAAAGTTTTAAACACCGTGTCTTTGCTATAATTAGCTACTACCATCCATGTTGTATATAGTAATTAGACTTCAGACTAAGACAATATAGTTCGGTTCATATTCATACTACAAAAGCACATATATACAGTTGGAAAAAAAAACTCACTCTTAATCCTAATCCTTTTATATAGTTTTAATTAATACTATCATTCATCATATTGTAATTTATTATGTTAGCGATTATTTATCGTATTTGTTATCTACCACGTGCCGCCTATTATTTGTCATACAATGCATGACGCTTAAAAACCTAACAAAACCATTCCCCCCTTTATTCAAACTACTAAGTTCTATATACAGATCATATTATAAAAAAAAAATAAGTTTTGTTCTGATTAAACGTATCCAAACTGAACTATAACTTATTTGATCTTTTCATATCTTTGAAACTAAAAATAAATTAGCAAGTCGGAAACTGAGAAAATAGATTCCAACTGAAATCCAAATTAATTAGTACCTGCAAAATATGAATTATAGAAACAAACTACTTTGGTCAGAAGATGCAGATCATATTAAAAGGGTTGACCAGTTAAAAAAAAAAGAGTTCACCAAAGGTCAAGAAGACACCTGAGGTTTATTCAGAGAAACATGTGTTCACATGGACTTCCCATCTTTCACTATCACACTTTTTTTAGGGAACCATTTGACTCCAAGCATTTATTATATTTCCATACCTTTCAGTTATTACAGTTATGGAGTTAGTTGCATCTCTATTTTCTTTTTCATTTCTTTCTTCCGTTTGTATTTTAATAATTCATGTTGTGCCACTTATCTTTTGCTCCATACACATTTCACATAGACTACTATGGAAAAATGTTGCATTTAAGTGCCGATAAATAAAACGTAACTAAGATTTACATCATAATGCATACTCCATAATATCACTATTCGTTTAAGTAGGATGTGTCATTACGTGCTCTGATGATCTCCCTAATTCTGGATTCTAATTGAGATTATGCAATAAACCCGAAACAAACAGCACATCTCAAGGTCGGCGTTATTGGGGCTTTAGTGACTTCAATAACATATACGTTGGTCAAACAAGCAGTAATCCAAGAGGATAGTTAAGAGGAAATAAATGTTGGAATATTTTCATGTTACCAATAAATATTCAAGTATTCATAAAATGTACAGAAAATGGCTAATAATACAATACAGAGGCGGCATGAAATTAGGTAGCCTTATAGGCTTAATTTAAAACTGTAACATGGCATTTGAGTCCCTTAATCAGTGATCTTTTTAATTAAGTCACATGATTAAGCAGCTGACTTTGCCGATCGGATCCGATTAAAATTTTAGAAAGAATTCGCTTATATATTAATAAGCAAACAAATATTTTGGCAATTCCACTTTAGCAATAATTTGTCATTTTCCCTCGTAGTATATAGTTTTATGTTTAACGGCTTTTTTCTTTGCGAGATTCTCTGCCAATAATGCACTTATTGGAAGAAAGGCGTATTATTTTAGTTTACTAAAATATACTAAAAACTAGTGTTGTTTAATGTCATTACCAAATAATTTTCAGATGTTAGAAATGATTGGCATTACATATATACCCACCAAAAGATTTGACCAAAATTTGGCTGATAGTGTCGCACTTGATCATTATGTCATATCCTTTTCTCAGTTTATTTTATCTAGTCCACTTATAGTCTTCATCTATTTCATTATATCAATAAACGATATAAAATAATAATTATTTATCCCAACTTCAGTCATTTTATATTTTAATATTATAGAAAATAATATGATAAGTTTGTTTTCGAAAGTATTACGCTAATATATGGCTATTAATATCATGGATTAATAAATATATAATCTGTCACAAATATAACAAAAATAATTATTGATATTCAATTGTATTTTCCGTTCAGACTCTAGTTTTAATACATCGAATTAAATTCTAGTTGTGCTTCGAAATTTAAAATATGAGGAATTATAGATGCGATCATTGTTTTGCCTAACTAGTTTCATACTAAAACATTGACGTATGAGGAGTTTGTTATTTCATTTCCCACGTTTCCATGTGAGGACACACACAGATTCGGCTTCCCAGTATTCCTCCTCGATATTTCTCTTATTATTAAGATTTTCCGACTTTTCCGACTAAACACAACCAAAATCTAATACTCTCCCCGTCGAGGAGATTTTATTGTCTACTATTAAAATATTTGTACACTAAAAGTTTTTCTATTACATTCTCACAAAAAGATTATCTGATGAGTTAAATTTTTTTATAGTTACCTACATTATATATGATAAAAATATGTATACCAGAATCTATTATGTACATCCATATATGTCCGTAAACTCTTAAAATTAATCTACAAACATATCAAGTTGTAAATTATATCATATTGAAATGTTGTAATATATAATCAATGATGAATATAATTAAAAGTAAAATGATATTTATTATAAAATCATTTTTTTGAAAAATTGGTTGTCATTGATAGTTTGTTGAACGACATGTTAACTAACTGTGAAAATTGATCTCTGGTCTCTACTACTCTTTCTGTTTCACAAAAATTGAAATTTTAGATTTTTAACATTTTCTAATAATAAATTTACAATGTAAAAATTTACTCTCCTTTACTACTATAATTTCATAAAAAATCAATAATAACTATGTTAATTAGTATAGGTAGAAAGGTACACAAATCAAAATAGACTGAAAACATAAAATTTCTATTTTGTGAAACGGAAAAATCTCAAATTTTGTATTGCCGTGAAGAAAATATCACTCTTTCTCGCCAAAGTCATTTATATTAATTAAAATGGTTTACACTATTATAATCATGGTATAATGAATTATACAGCCACAAATTATATATTATAATTAGATATATGCATATATATATATATATATATATATATATATATATATATATATAAGAATACAAGTACACCAGATTTCTCAAATTCTAATCTCTAGTTTTTTATATTTGCATAACTTATAAGCGATTTTACAGTTTCAACTAATTATATTCTCTTTGATATTTTTCACTCAAATTAAGAAAATGATTGATAAATTCTTATTAATAAGACATATTCAACCAATAATATTTGAGATAGTGAAATTATTTATAAAATAAATGCATTTGAAATTCTAAAACAACACTTTTTGTAACAAGAAAAAAATGTTAAAATTACACTTAATATAAAATAGAAGGGGTATTGTGTTTTGTTAATAATTGCTAATCAGGGTGCTGCTTTTGGAACCCTATATACAAAACAAAGGGAGATTACTTTTTCACGATTGCTCGCTTTCTCATTTTATTACCAAGTAGAAGTATCATATTAGGATTTGAAAATAAAATTTGAATTAAATACGAAAATGAAACAAAACAAAAAAAAAAGCAAAAAATGAAGGGTGGTGCGTAAGATATTAGGTTGCATTTGTGCACGTAAATCAGATCAGTACACTAAACATGGTCATAATTTAGAATATCATACCATAATAATTAAAATATGAATGTTAAAAACTCTACTAGTACA